CTGAGGCAGGAGAATTGCTTAAACACAGGAGTTTGAGATTGCTGTGGTGGATGTCGTGGCACTCTAGCCTGGGCAACAGAGTGAGACCCTGTCTAAAAAAAAGGAAGAGATAAAGGTGGATTAGAGTACTTAAGTAGAGCTCCAGCAAGTCAGGAAATTTCAAAAAGATCTTGAGGTTTGTCAGGACCTTATCTATTTTTAGTGACACAAAATTTTTCTGCAGGAGCAATCTTATGCACAAAGTGGGTCATTAGAGACATGCACTGTGTTTGAGTGGTGTTAGCTAACCTCTTCCTCTTCTAAAATGCCTCTGAACCTTACCTCATTCCTGAGAATCAGTGGCTGGAATAGTGAGTTATCCCCGTGAGTAAAGGCATGGCCACCACAGGATGTCCTTATAAAAAAGGAAAACTTTCTCAAAAGGTTCAACACACCAAACACAATCTACCCAGATGATTCTGATGACGGAAGCTGTTCATGCTTAGCACATATAGACTAAGGCAGGACTTCAAGAGCATATTCTGAAAAGGGACCATAGAACCCTGGATTCCACCTGATATAATAGCTCTTTCTTACTTTTCTTTCTTTCTTTTTTTGGTTTAGCAGGCCTGGGCCAGGTTCGAACCCACAAGCCCTGGTACATGTGGCCAGCACCCTAAGCACTGTGCTATGGGCGCTGAGCCATAATAGTCCTTTCTTATATGTAGTTCAGCTTTTCTCAGTTTCAGTTACCCGAGGTCATCTACAGTCTGAAACTATTAAATGGAAAATTCTAGGAATAAATAACTCAGAAGCTTTAAATTGCACTTCGTTCTGAGTAGGGTAATGAAATCTCACTGCTCCATCCCACCTGACATATGACTCATTGCTTTGTCCAATGACTCTGTGCTGGACACTACCCTCTATTAGGCATGGACGTCATCTACTGCAGACATCCAGCTATGGATATCTCAGTGACTCAATGGTTTGGTATTACCCGAAACAGATGATCTTTCTGACATAATTATCAGATCAGTACTAGTTTAATATTATATCACAATGCCTACCTCATTCACTTCACTTCTTCTCATCACCTAGGCATTTTGTCATCTCATACCATCATCAAAAGAAGAGTGAATAGGCTCAGTGCCCGTAGCACAGTGGTTACGACACCAGCCACATACACCGAGGGTGACAGGTTTGAGCCCAGCTCAAGCCAGCTAAACAACAATGACAACTACAACAAAAAACAGCTGGATGTTGCGGCGGGCACTTGTATTCCCAGCTACTTGGGAGGCGGAGGCAAGAGAATCTCTTAAGCCCAAGAGTTGGAGGTTGCTGTGAGCTGTGATGCCACAGCACTCTACCAAGGGCAACATAGTGAGACTCTGTCTCAAATAAAAAAAAAGAAGGGTGAATACAGTACAAGATATTTTCAGTGAGAGAGACCACATTCACATAACTTTTACTATACTGGATGTCCCAAAAATGGCTCCTAAAGTTGCCATACATAGGGAAAATGGGAGATTATAGCTCAAGATACCTGTATTATATACACAATATATAAAATTTTACAAAATATTTACAAAATATTCTCTACATGGTGGCCAGCTCTTTGTAAAATTTCATAATGATATTACATAAACAAAGGTGCATTTATGTACAATTTCCCATTTGTACAGACTTTAGGGGCAACTTTTGGGACACTCTGTAGTATATTGTTGTAATGGTTTTATTATTATTTGTTAATCTCTTAGTGTACCTAATTTATAAGTTAAACTTGTCATAAGTAAGTGTCATAGAAAAAAACATAGTACGTAGAGGTTTGGTACCAATTTAAGGTCACTCGAGGTCTTAGAACATACCCCCCCACCACCATGAATAAAGAGGAGCTACCATACCCGTATAAGCTTTACAGAATATGAATTTTGACATCCTGGCTCACCTACTCTGTTAAGATTCTGGCAAAGCCCCTTACAAAGTAGTTCATTTATCTTATGTAAACAAAGGCAAAAGAACAATAGAATCATTCTAACAATGGGTTCCTCCTCTTCCCCACAAGTCTACCATGTGCTCTTGATTCCAGCATGGGCTGGTTGTAATGAAGATGTAACCCACAAGGACAAATTCAATCAAGAGGAGGAGGAGGCTCAGGATGCAAGAAAAAGGGCCCAAGTTGGACTAAGATAAGAATATTGTTAGGGCTAACAAGGAAAGGGACATCAAATCAAAAGAATTATTTTGGATAAAGAAGAAGACAAGAGAAATTTGGAGAAGAGAAAAGTTAACACGGCATCAACCTCCTTGTATGAAAGATAATAAGATCATCTGCTAAGGTGAAAGGCAGGTTTGGGTTGGAATCTCAAGGACTGCAAAGATTTGTAAAACCCAGGAGTTTTCTTCTTCTTCTTTCCAACTCTACTACCTTCAGAACTAACCCTGTACAAGAAAACTTTATCAACAAATATGTACTCAATGATCTTTATGTTTTAGCCCTGAGAAAATACAATAGCTGTGAACCAAACAGACATAATCCTTAGCTTCTCAGAATTCACATGTCTAGCTGGAAAATATAGACAATAAGTTGAAGAGTTATAAGGAAGATAAGTGCCCTGGGAGTTAGCCTTTTGCGGGGAGACATCACATAGGAGGTGGATGTTTCGCTAGATGGGAGTAGTTAAAGGGAGAATTCAGGCTTCATGTTAAGACTCATAACTTTCCTCTCCAGAATAGCTAATTACAATATTTCTCAGCAATTTTCCCTGCCTTCTATCTCTTCCCAGCCCTATACAACACCACCAGGCTAACCAATGTTCTCGTGATTCTTCTCCAAAACTGTCAATAGGTCCCCAATGCCTAATACCGAGAGTTCAAATATCTTAGGCTGATTGAAGGCCTCCACCACTAACCAAGCCTGACCTTCCTTGTGTACCTGGTGCCACAACTCTCCATTCTAGGTAAACTCACAGATGGTCCCTTCATGTATGTCTTATCCTTTATCGCCTTTCCACTTTTGTCCCTGCTGATCCCTTCATCTTGAATGTTCTTCCTCCACTATCCAGTCTTTCTGTCTCATTTCTGCAAGAACTCAACTCTCACTTCCACCTGGAAGCATTCTGTGATCCCTAGTGCTAGGAGCAACTTTTCTCTTCCGTATGTAAATGCAAATTTGTTCATGTTTATCTTAGGATATTTTTGACAGTATTCATTGTACTGTGATCCTTTTTATAGCCTCCACATCTCCATATTACATTATCAATCTGAAGACCAGGATCTGTGCCTTGTTCATTGTTACGCTCCATAATATCTTATACTCCAATACAAAATCTATTTAGCTAAAGGAAATTCTTTGTTAATGTTTGTTGAAGTTAATGCTAAAAAAAAGTCCTATTAGAATGGATTCTTTTTCCGGGTACGGTGGCCCACACCTGCAATCCTAGCATTCTAGGAGGTCAAGAAGTGCTTGGGCTCAGGAGTTCAAGACCAGCCTGAACAAGAGCAAGACTCCATCTTTGCTAAAAATAGAAGAACTAGCAGGGTGTAGTGACACACACCTACTCAGGAGTCCCTGCTACTCAGTAGGCTGAGGCAAGAGGATCACTTGAGTCTAAGAATCTGAGGTTTCTGTGAGCTATGAAGACACTATGGTACTCTAACCAGGGTGACACTGTGAAACTTTGTCTCGAAAAAAAAGAAAAAGAATGCTTGGAAGTTTACTGTGATCCTGCACAAATTAATTATTATGGATCTATTTTTCTGCATTCCTAGAATGTAAATGTTGTAAATACATAGACACTTCACCTATCCATTCCATTTCATTCATCCATCCATTTCATTCCTTCATTGTTCAGAATAAACATACTGAATATCTACCTGCATGTACAGGATAGGGATGGTGCTGGGTCTGGCTTTATGCAGTGTACACAATCATTGATCAATGTTTATGTCATTTTTCTTTCCCTTTTTTTTTCCTAGACAAAGGGAAGCAAAGAGGTTTTGCACATCACCACTGCCCACTGAGAACAATGTGTAATTAGAATGACCTTCATTTAAGTTGTGACCTATGGAGCCAGCATAAGCCTTGTAATGCATAGAACCAAATTAGATGCAATTTTAACATTGACAGAGAATATTGGCTTTTTTAGAGATCTATCTTTATGTTTGTTGTTTGAAGATTTTGCTTTAACAAGATACCAATTATATTTCCCCCTTTTCCTCTTGTCTGCAATTATTTTCCTGGCATGCATTCCGTAAAGAACTTGAAGTCTTTTTTTCTGATTGAAGTAAAGTTTGATGAAAATTGAAAAATCAATGCTTTCCTTCTAATAACGTTAGCATGATAGGAAAAAGCCTCTAATTTTGTAATTATAATCAATATGTAAGGAGAAATGGTCACAAATATACTGCATATTTTACGAAGTAGATTTGGTTGGTTACACTCATTTTTAAATAATCAGGCAATTTTTTAAAAGTTGCTGTATATAAAATGCTTTTTAAAAATGTTGTTACTGAATATGAGTGCATCCTATCTTGATGCTAAAGAGTTAGATGTCCAGCCCCCTCCCCTGACAGTCTTTATCCTCATCTTGAGGGTGTGGGACACACACAAGCCTGTCTCTCATTTCCTAAGGACCCATTATTCATTTCTACGCACAAGTCTTTGGGGACACAACCTATCTGTGCCTCCAGATCTCTCCGGACTCCTTAGCGATACTGTCCGAAGCATTGAATTCATTTGTTTTCTAGCTTCGAGCTGGGCAGATAGACTCGCTTTCCCTTGCCTCTGCCTTCCCCAGCTCCAGTCTTGTCTCCCACGGCCCATCTGTGCCCCTCCTTTCCTCCACCCCCTGTCCTCTCTGCTCCCCTTTATTTCCACTCCCCACCCGCGTGGCGTTGCTCTCCCTCTCCCCCTCGGTGTGTCTGTATTTGGAGCTTCCGGAAGCTGCCGGCGACTCTCCCCTGGAGCAGCGTGACTGACACAGACTCCCATTCGGGGGGAGGAGGGAGGGGAGGAGAAGGGGAGGACGCGCGGGAGGAGGGTGCGAGTGGCCGATCACGGATTTGCATCGACGAGGACGGGACCCCAGGGCAGCGAAGCAGGTAATCCGGCAGCGGCCTGCGCCCGCCGAGGGTGGAGGAGGAGCCGGGGGTGCAGGTGCGGGGGGCGCCTAGCGGCGGGAGCTGCCAAGTTGCGCCCAAAGGGTGGGGTGGGGAGGAGGGTGGGACGCGGCGGCTGCGGGTGCCGCGCGCGCGGAATAAAGGCGGCGCGGGCTCCGGGGCCTGGCGGGGACCCGGATGCGGGGACCGAGATGCGGAGACCAGAGCGCCGAGGCGCGGACGCCCCTCATCTGGGTCAACCCAGCACTCGCCCTGCCCCCGCGCCTCTCCCGGCGCTCGGAGGGCGCGCAGCCGCGGCCTCCCCACCCGGGTGCCGCCGCGCGCCGGCTGGTCTAACTTTAGGGGTCTCGCCCTCTCAGCTGCGATTCTCACTGGGATGTGTTTGGAGGGAGGGAGGAGACTGTCATTGCACCGGCTATGACCAGAGCCACCTTGATCAGAAAGTGCTGGAAAGAAACCGACCTGGCTTCTCTTCTGCATAACCTGACTTGAGGCGATGAGTCACCTCCAAAATATGCAAAGGCAACTGAGGCTTTGAGGAATGGCTCCGAAAAAGGGCACCCTACAGCTGGCTGGCTGACTACTTGGAGCGATGGCTGTTTTGGAAGTAGCCGCGGGATCATCACTTTTAGGGCCAGTAATCAGCAGTGCAGATGGCCTTGTCTTTATTCTTACCAGAGTGGTGTTTGCTACCACAAATATGCGGCAAGTTTTAGCAATACTTGAATTAATGCATTCTTTAAAATGAGTAAATATGGGTGACTGCATTTAGGGTATTCAACTAGGATTAGGTCCAAATAGAGTTAAGATGAACATTTGGCAAAAACATCTAGGAACTTTGAGTTTATAGTCATGGGAATGCAGAAGCCTTTGGGACTTGGGCACCATCGTTTACCAAAACCGATTGCAGAATATGATTGAGGGCTAATGTATTTCTTTTAAGGAATGTGCCTTAGAATTCTTGGTAAAATATCTAAGCCCACTTAATGTAAAATTACAACAGTAGAGTGAACATTGGGGAATTGGTCTTATAGTTACCAGAGTCTAATTAGACCGTAAGCCTCTTGAGAGCAAGAGTGGGCGTGTTTGGTATTCCTTGCGGCACCAAAACAGTATTTGACTCACAGCTTGTGATGCATAGACAATACAAGTTTGTGAAAACAGCTAATTCCATAATTTGAGTGTGGCTGGACCACGAGTTCTTGAAGATACTGTGTATTTTGCAAGGAAAGACTACTCCATAAATCCCCAAATCTAAAAATCCTCCACTGACTTAGAGTCAAAGTGTCATAGAAATATTTATTAAGGATAGAGAGAAAAAAAGTTGACTATGGGAAACATGAAGGTGTTTATCAAGATAGTCTTCGCTAATAGGAAGTAGGTTTTTTGCTGCTCACTGTTGGAGTGCAAAGTAATTTCATTTGTTGATACTATAGGGTTGGGTAAACTTTTTTTTTTTTTGAGACAGAGTCTCATTATGTCGCCCTCAGAGTGTCTTGTCCTCACAGCTCATAGCAACCTCAAACTCTTGGACTTAAGCGATTCTCTTGCCTCAGCCTCCCAAGTAGCTACAGGTGCCCACCACAACGCCTGGCTATTTGTTGTTGTTGTTGTTGTTGTTGTTGTTTAGCAGGCTGGGGCCAGTTGGAACTCACCAGCCCTGGTGTATGTGGCCGGAACCCTAACCATGGAGCTAAGGGCGCTGAGCCTGGTAAACTTTTTTTTTGTTGTTAAGTCATAAACACATAGATCATGCATACATTGATGCCTTTATGGGGCACAATGTGCTGATTTTATATACAATTAAGAATGCTTACATCAAACTAGTTAATATAGCCTTCGCCTCATTTACTTAATTATTGTGTTAAGACATTTATATTCTATACTTAATAGATATGACATGTACCCTTACTTTTTGAGTAAAGAGTTACATAGCAAATACATAGGTTTTGCAGGCCATATGCTTTCTTTAGCAACTATTTAATCCTGCTGTATGGCTTGAAAGCTGCTAACAACAATACTTAAAGGACTATTGTGGCTGTGTTTCACTTTATTTATGGCTATTGAAATTTGAAGTTCACACACTTTTCACCAGTACTCAAACATTCTTCTTCTTCCTAAAAAATGTAAAAACAGGGGGGTGGTGCCTGTAGCTCAAAGGAATAGGGCACCGGCCCCATATGCCGGAGGTGATGGGTTCAAACCAGCCCCGGCCAAAAACTGCAAAAATAAATGAATAAATAAATAAAAACAGGGCAGCATCCGTAGCTCAGTGGGTAGGGTGCCAGGCGCATACACCGAGGCTGTGGGTTCGAACCTGGCCCAGGCCAGCTAAAACAACAATGACAACTGCAACAACAACAGTGACAACAATAAAATAGCTGGGCGTTGTGGCTGGCACCTGTAGTCGCAGCTACTTGGGAGGCCAAGGTAAGAGAATCACTTAAGCCCAGGAGTTGGAGATTGCCACGGCACTCTACCCAAGGCAACATAATGAGACTCTGTCTCAAAAAAATAAAATTAAATTAAAATTAAAAATGTGAAAACCATTCTTAGCCTGGAAGAGAAGAGGAGAACACAAAAATAGGATAGGAAAGGAGATTGGATTAGTCTCACTGGCAGTTGTTTGCTACTCTCACTGACCCTATGCTAGAGATTGGAGAGGCATCTTTTGAAAGGATTAGTGGGTCACATTCTCTGTGTGGGATTAATTTGAATATCCTTAAGAATAGCATTGATTTATTTGGGGCATTATGGTGTTTTATTTTGTCTTGAATATTTCCTAACAGACATCTTTATGCATGAGGTTTTGTTTTTAATTCATTAATGATGTAATATTTTATACTTCATAATAATATGCTAAATCTATTTAAATGATGAGCATCATATTTAGTTGAAAACTTGTGAACTCATCACTGGGTGTAGAAAGTAGGCTGAAGAACTAGATAATTGGCAAAAGATAACTCACAAAATGGGAGAAAATATTTAGAAATCTTGGATCTGATAAGGGACTTGTATCTATAATATATATATGAAAAAAAACCCTAACAACTCAATAATAAAAATCTTTTATTAAATAACTCAATTTAAAAATGGACAAAGGAGCTGAATAGATATTTCCCCGGAAGATACACACATGGCCAATAAGCCCGTGTAAAGATGCTCAACACTGTTACTCATCAGGGAAATGCAAATATTCCATCATTTATTTAGCCATTCTTTTGTTGACAGGCATTTGGGTGGGTTCCCATGTTTTGCTATTACAGAGTGCTTTTTTGAAGACTTTTTCCCATGTGTCTTGGCACACACATGCAAGAGTTCTTCTACGTGGATATAAATGTGCCATGTATTTTAATGGCAAAGGAAAATAGCTGATTCTCCTTTGACTTACACATTGATGCCGTATCCCCGACTTATTCATTCCCCCACACCAAGATAGAGTGACTGTATCTAAGATTCTGACTTGTTATCCTATTTCAGTTCTACTTGTAATGTCTACTTTCCCATGTCTTAGGAAGTGTGGAAAAACACTATTCTGAAACTTGACCCCCGAATTTCACAACATGACCTTTTCACCCAGTCACTCACCAGCAGCCTCATCCCCTTCTATCACCTGGATTGGGATGGGGCAGATGACAATTTAAACTATTAAATCCAAAGAACATTCCTTTAATCAAGGTAGATGAGTGGTTACTAAAGCTCACTAAAATTTTCCTTGTACTGTGTATCCTTCTGGGTAGTCCGGTATTTCTCACATGGTCTAGTTATTCTGGTAACAAACTGCTGATGAGAAATCTGAGCGCTTAGCCTTGGGCAGTGTCTAGGTCTGCCCCTGATTTAGGTTGTACGTTCTGCAGTTTATTTATAATATTTCTACTGGTACCTAGGAAGGGAGGAGGAAGAAACCATAATAAAATTTTTAATTGTTTTTCTTATGGTAAGGTATAGGTAACACAACATTTTAATTATTTTAACATTTTTTAATTTACAATTCAGGGGCACTGAGTACATTCACATTGTTGTATGACCCTCACTATTGTTTATCTCCAGAACTTTTTCATCACCCTAAATTAAATTCTGTACCCATTAATGATAACTCACAATTCTCCTCTCTTTCAGCCCAGGGTAACCAACATTCTCCTTTCAGTCTCTGTGAAGATACCTTGTATAAGTGGAATCATACAATATTTGTCCTTTTATCATGTGGACTTTTATATCCAGGGGGATTCCACCTTGTTTTGTTTTTCTCACTTTAGGAAGAACACAGGTTCTCTTACTGAGAAGTTACCTATGGATTGTTTCCCTTTCAATACACAGCCCTGTCTGAAAGGGGGATAGGAAAGTGTCTAAAACCAGAAAACCTTTTGACTACTGTGAATGTGGTCTTTAACCACCCTGTCTAGTTAATTAGACATCTAATTATCCTGGCTTCTCATTGGCCACTTAGCCAAGTGGAGAAGATGCAATGGTTTTTAATTCTTAAAATTTTATACCTTGAGCTGGTTAGCTTCCAACTTCTCAGAATTAAAAGGCCTTTCTGCAGTACAATAATCTGATCTAAAATTGTTTTTGTTTTGATAGGGAAGGGTATGAAAGAGTTGGAAGGCTGTAGGAGACTGCCAATAGAAATGAGGTGATACAAGTGGCAGTTCTGAAGAGGATGGTCCCTGGAGAAGTTAGATACTGGAAACACCACAGACAGACCCGTAGTATTGTCTTATGTCTATACTTGGGCATGGTTTAATGAGAACATAACCTTTGTTACTTCACATCATTCCACATGGAAATCCAGAAAAATTCTGGGACCCCCCCTTGATTATTTATTCATTACCCCCATGTTAAGGGACTGCTATATGCTCAGTATCTATCACTGAGGATTAAAAAATGAGTATCAGTGAAGATACTCTGATACAATGAACAGAAGATGATCCTTCACTGTAAACATAAGTCTCAAGGGATCTAGTCTGGTGATTGTCATTATT